AGGAGAATGACAAGACTAATCCCGGGCATTAGGAACCTTGAGTATAGAGACAGGTTAAAGCATCTTAATTTGCACTCCCTTGAGAGACGTAGAGCGAGGGGCGACCTCATAGAGGTGTATAAGTGGAAGGCAGGGCTAAACAAAGGGGACATTACAAAGGTACTCAAATTATCCAACCAGGAGCGAACTCGTAACAATGGTTTTAAATTAGACAAATTTAGATTTAGGCGTGAAATAGGTAAACACTGGTTTGGGAACAGAGTAGTGGATGAATGGAACAAGTTACCAAATATCATCATTAACTCGAATACGCTGAATTGCTTCAAACATAGGTTGGATGCTCATATGAGCAATAGGGGTTGGGTGTAAACGGGACTGCCCAGTATGGGCCAATAGGCCCGCTGCAGTTTCCTCCATTCTTATGTTCTTATGTTCTTATGTTCTGTTCTCGGGTAGAGTGTATCTTGTTTTCGCCGTGTTAACAGGTATCAGAGGCGTGATAATAGACGTGCCACCTGATAGATAACGCTTGTCAAGTGTACTGTACAGCCGCGTCCGATTAATAGGTTTTCCCTGTTCGTATAACCGTTTGAGTATACTGTGTGACCTTTGTCTAATCATGTGCATTTCACGTTTCCTTTCTTTACCTGCACTTGAATAATATCTTAACCTGGGCATCACCACTACTTAACTTGCACTTGTGTATTTGACCAGTCATCGACTTGTACATGACTTGTAACTGACTTGTTTATACTCTATCAACCAGTATTTAATCTTTGACTTATGACTAAGCTGTCAGTGGTTATCCAACTTTGCAGTTGGGGAAGTAAAGTTGGTCCAGTGCAGTGCCTGTCATACTGTCTTCTTGTGTACAAAAACAAAACAAAACAAAAACGTACGATATACCGTAACCACGCTGTTCCTACGGCCATCCAGGTCTACGGGACCCACTTTCACGTTGTTGCGAATTGCTGGTTATATTCTTGTATGCGTGTGTGTGTGTGAAAGTCTCCAAGCGGGTAGCTAAGCCACTTCTCATTTATAATTGATCTCTGAATAACTCTGAATTCAACAAGCCCCTGAGCAACAAGGCCAGGGTTGTCGGCCACCCTGGCGTAGTGGTGACCCCTGGGGAGCCCTGAAACTCGAGTACCTGAGGTCGACCTCTCGAGTCGCCATGTTGACACGACTCTTCAAGAGTTTGTTTACTTCTCGAAATCCAAGATGGCTGCCAATGCCTGGGGGACTACTAGCATAAACAAATTAGCGCTTTTTCACTTACGACTGTAGTCCTGCTGAAGATAGATAGATAATCAGAAAGATGTACTGATTGGCAAAGAGATGGACAGGTAGCTGAACTAATTACAGTATACTTAGAGAGACCGTCACCGTATACACTTTACACCCCAACACACTCTCCCGGTAGTAGCCGGGTCATCAGCAATATTTCACCCACTTGAAGGACCGTCCAGACTTGTTAGAAACATATTATCTCTAAGATTTTGATAAATATTTTTTCTACTGGTCTCGGTTAGTAGAGGTAAAGACGCATTACTTAAGTCAATTGATAGAGAACTGGGTCGCACCTGTTGGTACTGAGTGAAGGGTCTACTTGAGGTGTACCAACATTATTGTATAAAGAACATGAGAATGTAATTTAGTGAGAGACCCTCATTTAATAATATTGACAATAATAATAATAATATCATCATCATCATCATCATCATCATCATCATCATCATCATCATCATATTTTTCTTAATACTCATTTGTTAATTTTATCGTAGGTATTTTTTTTATTGTTAATACATACGTGTTAATTTACGTCAAAGTTATAACCAGTGTCTCGTTTTTGCAGGTATGTGACAATTAAGGGTGGATTTGGCAGGTGTGTAGAGGTAAGTGTTCCCTTGTGTTGACAGGTGTGTGTGTGTGTGTGCGTACGTCTCAGAGCCACATAGGATCTATAATGGGAAGTCTATATAATTAGTTCAGCTTATTCCATTGAATCCTATAAACTTACACAAGAATTCACATACATATATAGGAGTGGTTTATATATGTTTATAGTATATATAATTTCATCTGTTTTTTTTTCCTGTACTAGACCTTCCGTATCCTATAATCGTTTTGGCCTATAATGTGAAATCTCTATCCAGTACTTTACCAATATCTTTTAATTATACCTCCGATGGTTCCTTTAAAACTGCCTAAAATCTGGACTGTCTATAATTAAGCTTCTTATAATAGAGCCCCTAGGTTCCTATAATTGGACGTGTATTAATAGATGGTCCTCGGCTTAACGATCGTGGTGCCGCTGGTCAGGTGTGCATTGATTGATTCACTCTACCTGTTGGGGCCCTCCTTCCCTTCCTCTTATCCCTTCCTTCCCTCCATCTAACCCTTCCTTCCCTCCATCAATCCCTTCCTTCCCTCCCTCTATATTTTTCTTCTCTCCATCTATCCCTTCCTTCCCTCCTTCCCTCCCTCTATCTTTTTTCTTCTCTCCATTTATTCATTCATTCCCTCCCTCCATCTATCTTTTCCTTCTCTCCATCTATCTCTTTCTTCCCTTCCTTTCCTCTATCCCTTCATTTTCTTCCTCTATCTCTTCCTTCCCTCCCTCCCTTTATTCCTGTCCATACCTTCTTTCCCGTCCTCCTTCCCTTCTCTGCTCTCTCTCTCTCTCTCTCTCTCTCTCTCTCCACAAGACGATGGTTATAACCGACGCAGTTCTTTTGAGAGGACACGAAAGAACGCATCACGAACATCTACTGTAGATTTAACTGCATGACCTACGGACATAGGGACGCACGAACACTGGGACACATACAAAGAGAGAGAGAGAGAGAGAGAGATTCTAATCGGCTTGACTTCCTTCAACATTATTATTATTGACGTTCCTGTCCTGTCCAATAATAAATCAGAAATACAATTAAATTCATAATAATAACCTAAACTAACCTCTTTTTATTTTTAAGATAAATGTTTGTTGTTTATACTATAATTATACATTACAATCTGTAAGAAAATAATGAATAGACTTGTCACACGTTCATCTTGTTTATTTGGGATTGAGATGATAATATTGTTTATTCTGTTTGTTTATACGGTTGAAGTGGTCAAAGTCATCGAGGCGAAGTCTTATAAAAAAAATAGGCACACTTGAAGAATATCCACCCCACAGCTTGTTTCATCTAAAGATTCACCTAACCTAACCTAACCTAACCTAACCTAACCTAACCTAACCTAACCTAACCTAACCTAACCCCCTCCTCAAAAGAAGAAACAAAAAACTAATCTCTCAGGACGGACGACTGAACAGTGTTGGAACCTTTGCTTTTATCACCTCATTATAACTCTCTTTAAAAGCATTTTCTCTGTCTGTTGGCCATCAAGCACTATCAAGATCATCATTAGACGTTGGACGAAGCCTTATAGACCCTCAGTACAGGTGATGTTATTGTTGAGTCTTGAATCTTTTTGGAACAACATTTATTTATTATTTATTTTTTCGTCTCATTATAAGTCTTTGTGAAAAAAAAAATATCACTTCATCTCTAAACACCAAGCATTTGAGACGTTTATTGTACTTAGTAAACTATTGTAAACTACTTCATGTAATACTATGTTTGTGGGGGGCTAATGGGCTGGTTGAGAAACATTGTTGGAACCTCTGTTATTACTCCCCTCGTAATATAGAAGATTTTTAAAAGACCTCTCATTTTTGCTCTCGGGGCGTCAAGTATATTATCAAATCATTCGGTAAGACAATTTTTTTAAGACTTCACTACCATTTAAGTCCGGGTGTTGGTCAAGTTTGTTGGTCTAATGCTTGATAATGTGTATTGTTGAGAGCCTGTCTGGTCTTATCTCATCTCTCTCTCTCTCTCTCTCTCTCTCTCTCTCTCTAAATGACACTAATCATGTTTTTGTGCGAGTGTGTTTGTTAGGTGTCCGACAACAACCTGTAGTATGATAATTACATTTAAATTGTCGATGTTAATGAGATCAATGGGGGAGATTGGACGCTTTGAAGCACCGCCAGAGAGAGAGAATTGACCATCCACTTCGTGTATTTTGTGCGGCTGGTTCCAGTAGCCCCCTTCAGTCCCAATTGGGTCTATAGTCCTAATAGACCGTACCCCTAATCGTAAGGAGGACCATTATGACTGGACCACAAATCCTAGTGTTTAGATTAGGTTGGGGTCTGTTAGGCTTAGTTTTTTAAGGATTGGACTTACTTGGACTGGAGATTTTTAGGACTGGTGCATGTTAGGATCAGCTAGTGTATGTGTTGGACTCTTAACTATACGGGCTTCTGCGCTGATTAAAATCGTCTGACGTTAGCCATATCAAATAATAACAATGGCGTCCAATAGTGAAGGGGTTAATAGTAAGGTGTGCATTATTACGCTTCAACATTCACACATCCTTGAGGCTTTTCGGAATTTCCTGTTATCGCTCTAGTTTTATCATTGGCAGTCTCGTGGGTACTTCTGCAATTCTTGTCATCGACGGTTATCATTATCGACATATAGTAGCTTCTCGGAACCAATAATGTGTCATAGGAACGGTCCTGAGGATGGGTCACGTGACGATTAGTTACTTCAACTTATTTTACCTGATGATTAATTTAAACGCGCTAATACTATCTTGATTGGTTATGATAGATTAGGTTAGGTTAGGTTTGCGTTAGGGTGCCTAATCATCAGGTGATCCGTGAGGTGAGTATCTTGAGTGTGTTGAGGTATGGGTGGAAAACAAGTTAGTGATAAGTTCAAGTTACAATCAGTAGAGCTGAAGTTTGACGCCAACTCTACCGTATCATGATTAAGATAAAAACTGTGTACGACTCTCACTAACCTGAGGGTATAAGGAGGCGTCTAGGGGGTGTATTATCCCCTCGCTCGGCCACAGTGTGGCCAGGAAGCTTGTTCAGTGTCGCCGTGGCGTTGGTAAGGACTGGCTGTTGCCACGGGAAGGGGTTAATAGAGAGCCAGACGGCTAAAATCGCCGCGTTCGGAAGTTGTTGACGATAAGGTGGGGGGGCATCGACGCTCCCCTGGTGGTGGCAGTGATGGTGTAGCTAGCTGGTGTCTGTGTCAGCCTGGTCCCTCACTGGCTTCAGTATCTCTCCTACCACCGTGGCGACTCGTATGTGGGATATATTTCACCAGTGTACCGAGGTGTCTGACTCTCAGTGGTGACCTGAAACCCTGCAGTGGAGGGTGTGAAGAGCTCAGGGCTGTGTGGTAGTGTTGTGTGGTGTGTGGAACTGTCTGGTGACGGTGATCCACGCGGTGACAGCGGAGAATGAGGTCACCAAAATACCATTGATTCTGGTATTACAGTGAAGTGTTGGCGAGGTAACCATAGGTGCTGGTGCCGTCACCCTCTGTATATAAATAGTAAAATAGTCGCGGGCATCGGAACTTGCCTCACCACCATGTTCGGATTCATGAAGAAGAAGCCTAAGGAGCGACCAGCTGTAGGGATTAAGTTTCAACAAACTCCAGAGTTCGCGCAGGACTTCCACCCTAACCCCTCCCCTACCTCACTCCCCACCACCACTCCAATCTTGCAAACTACTCCAGCCCCCATGCCTAGTCCTCGAACTCCCCAAACTCCCCCTCCTTCGTACAACAGCGACAGAAGCACCACCACCAGTAATGACAATGCGCCTCCAAACGAGGAGTCTGTCCACGACGGTAAACCGGCTATACAATTTACCCTCAACCCGGAATACTACGTAACCGAAAACGGGGATGGCGGTCACGAATCAGACGACGAAACGGAAGGTAATGGACGGTTCTGTTTGTCAATCTGTGCTCTCCTCCTCCTTCTGTCTGTGTCTGTCTGCTCACAAAGTCCAGGGTTAGGAACAGATATCGATGAATTTTGAACACCCGATTTCTCTAGACCTCAATTAATAGTTATAATCAAAATCTATTAATTGGTCAGGGTCAAAGGTCACTCTGACCTACACAAATATCAACACACCATCTTACTCCATAACAATGAAAATAATAACAATAATAACTACAACAGCAACAAAATCAACAACTACAACAACATCAACTACAACAACAGAACAAGAACAACAAAAAAGAGGCGCCATGTTCACCTCAGGAGCCACAACTAGTAGTAGTGAGGGGAAAATATTGATAGTTGTTTGGTGAAAAAACTGAAGGTAATGGCGACTAACGACCTGCTGCGGGTAGTTATGACAAACGACTTATTGGGGGGGAGCAACCTAACAAGGGGTCTTTGTTTATGAAGCAATCAAGACATAAACAAGGTGATTTGCGTGGGGTTAAAGACAGAATGACTCCTGACTATTAATCTTATCAAAGGCCAAAATAACCCAGAATAGACGCTCGGTGAAATGAAAAAAGCTATAGCTGTGACGTCAGAGGCTCCTAATTGCTTACCTGACGAGCCCGGCCAATGAGAAAGTTGCAGAGACGACGTCAGGGCCTGTAAATTGGTTTTAGACCAATCAGTAGACCAGGGAGACTGCTTGTATGACGTCAGAGTCTTCCTGTTGGTGTCCTCTAGAACTGTTGACCAATCAGAAGACAGAAAGAGCTGGAACTGTGACCTCAGAACGTGCTTATTGAATAAAGTCCAATCAGCAGGGGAGGAAATTTGTAATTATGACAAGTCATGCTAATAGCTTATATGCCAATCAGCAGGTGGAAAAAAAAACCCTCTGTAATATCCAAACATGTTAATTGGGCAAATCATTCGCGAAGAACCTGAGAACTATGACGTCAGAGCCTCATCATTGGTTAGTTAACTGATCGGTTCGCCTAATTAGTGTTGCGGAAGTTATAACCGTGGCGAAGTTTTACCACCTGGAATACGATGATACTGTACAATTTTTAAACTCTTTGATGAGAAATAAAACAAAATAAATCTGACCTATTTAGTTATACTTTTCGTTATTGATGTTTTTAATTGTATTTTTTATTTTTTTATTTTTTATTAATTCTTTTTTTTTCCTTGTGAGTTTCTTTATTTGTTTTTTAAGTTGCATAATGTTTGTTATTGTTTTGTTTTACATGTTTTTATGTTTTCTGATTTGTGTTACATTATTATTATTATTATTATTATTATTATTATTATTATTATTATTATTATTATTATTATTAGTGAGGTATGGCTGTCATTATGGACTGTCAGCTGTTTACTTGTGGCCCCTAGCATGTATTATATATGGCTGTCAATGTGGTCTGTCCGTAGTGAGGGTATGACTGTCATTATGGGCTGTCAGCTGTGTACTTCTGGTCCGTAGTGAGGAGATGGATGTCATTATGGACTGTCAGCTGTCTACTTATGGTCCATAATGAGGGAATGGCTGTCATTATGGACTGTCAGCTGTCAGTCATAAAAAAGGCGTCAGTGTACAACCCACGCTCTCCCGGGTCATGTGTCAGAAAGGTCATCTCTGTGATGTTTGACCCCTGACCTTGTGGAGGAGGAGGTGGTGGTGGTAATAATGGAAGAGGAGGAGGAAGGGGAAGAAGAGATAGTATTGGATTTTTGTGTGTATGTGTGTACATTCTTGTATATGTACGTTATGTATGTGTACATCCTTGGGTATGTGACTTTGTATGTATGTGTGTGTGTGTGTGCATGTATTTCCATGGGTTGCGTGTGTGTGTGTGTGTGTGTGTGTGTGTGTGTGTGTGTGTGTTTGTATATGCCCTTGGATATGTGTCTTTCTTGTGTGTGAATTTGTACGTGTACGTGTGGTTGTACGTGTACGTGTGCGTGTGTGTGTGTGTGTGCTGGTGTCATCAGCTGATCATGGCCTCAACATACCAACCAGGCAGTGTAACCTTGTCTCAGGTGTTTATTTATATGAAAGGTTTTGCTGAATAACATAACAAAATCATCGCTTGTGTTATTTTAACCCTTCAAGTTAATTATCTCTTACCTTCCATCACTTAGAGTATATGACCAACTTTATCTGTGTTTGTTAGGTAATGATGATAATAAAAACTTATCTACAACGAGGCATACCAAGCTGGTTATCAATTCAGGTACAAAAATAGCATAAAATAATTAACTGACCGGCACCTGGAGCCCTGCCAGCGTAATGTCCAGAATGTTGAATAGAAGTTTCTTAATTTAACATAACTCTTGTTTATTGTTTAAACATTGTAAGATAGAAGTAAGTGGAAATTATTTATAAGCATCAAGTTATTTTTAATTGTGATTATAAATCTTTTGATAGTAATATGTACAGTAAGTGTGGTGAGCGTGTGGTAGTGGTGTTGGTGGACAGTACACACAACACTCACCTCACACTCAGTCCCTGATGAAGTCACAACTACCTAACTAAAACCACCTTAGGATCGTTAGTTCGGTGCAAATAAGTGTTGGCCTGACAGTGCGGCTATAGATCAGCATGGACCTTAGTGTTTCGGTACACGAGGAGGCACTGTACTCGACCTCAGTAACTTTCCCCACCTGTGAATTAAAGTACCCAGTCATACCTGAGTGAACTGGGAGCAAACTACCGCTACACCCGTAGGTTACGTTAGGTTAGTGTGCTTAAATGAAAATGGCTTAGCACTCCTATTCGTGGTAGTTTGCTAACATTATCCATATAATTGTCAGGTCTAGGTATTAGAGGAAAGAATGTAACCTAGTTATCGATAATTCTCCAAACGTTGAAACACCTTATTATATTTTGTATATATAATTATTACTGTACCAAGAAATATGAGTCAGGTGTCGTTGTGTAATCTGAACACCTGGTCGTCATCACCCACCTGGTATTTGACCCCCGAGGCAAGATATTTGCAATTGTTGCAGGTTATAATTATCGAACAGTAAAAACACTGACAGAGAGTTCCACACGGCACTCTATGCTGTAACTGTTGTCATAGTGCTGAGTGTCGTGGACCACCTAAAGATTAGCCCTCCCAGATCATTTCACCTGTTGTTTGAACACCCTAGCGCACTCTGGAAGGGTTGGGTTAGGTTAGATTATGTTAGAGTTAGCTTAGATTAAGTTAACATTAGGGTGGTTAATCTTAAGGTGGTGATGTTGGGGGGTGATCAACACAGCCAGGTAGTCACAGTGGCAGGTAGAGTGTTATCAGCGTCATGATAACTGAGATAAGATCAAGATAAGAATGTTACCCAGGACGTCTCCTCAAGTTCCATCCTCGACCACACTTATGCTTTATAATGGCTGGTAAATTATTGTAAAATCTGTGTGTGTGTGTGTGTGTGTGTGTGTGTGTGTGTGTGTGTGTGTGTGTGTACGAGGTAATAGAGGCAAGATAATCATTAACTTCACCTCACTGGGTACACAAAGTTGACACAACTGTTAAAAGTTTTAATTACTTAATAAAACTGTAAATTTGCATAAGACATAAGACAGTTCTAGCTTCATGTGGTAACTTTTTAGCCCATGAAATTCCTTAAGTAAGGATGACTAGTTATTGGGTATGTTAAGTTTTAATTATCCCTGATGTGTAAACAACAATATCTGTTAGGTCAGTAAGTGCGTGAATTAGGTCAAGAAAACGGAGCCTTATGTAAAAATCTTGTTAGTCAGGAGAGTCAGGTATTGGGCTGACTAATGAGGCAAAGATTCGTGTCTACTGATTCGGTTTCACGATGCTCCGGGTTCGTTTAGCAGCAGGAGGAGCGACAGTACTTTAGACCGTGACTGTTCAATACAAAATATTTTTAATAAATTTACTTACAACTAACAAGGCGCTTCAACCACCAGACGGGTCGTTACCTGTTAAAAATGTGAACTGTGGTTGGTTGTGTGGTCGAGCCTGAGCGCCTCCTACACTCTCTCACGGTAAACACTGACCCGAGGCGAGAAGGTCGTGGATGGTAGTGGAGGTGGTCAGTACTCCCGTGTGTGTGTGTGTGTGTGGTCACGTATAACACAGAGGCCGACTGCTTCGTGAGGAACATGAAGCCAGGAGTCGATCAGTCTTGTGTGTTGTAAGTGGAAGCGTGAGTTACTGCCACATTTACTAACCATTACAACACTGAAATAATCTAGGACTAATCTTCAAGTGATCTTATCCTAACCTAGCCTGAGCTAACGTAATTCAACCTCTGACGAAACTTGGTTCATGTTATTGGTTGATTAGGATTCCCCCGTTGACTCACGTGATTGGCGGAGGAGGCCTTCTATAACTGTCCTGTATCTATAATTGGCAACAGATGGTATCGTCTGTAATTACATTGATGCGACGGAAGATTATGTTAAGTTACATCTCTCTCTCTCTCTCTCTCTCTCTCTCTCTCTCTCTCTCTCTCCCTCCCATACACTTTCCTGGACTCTCACTCACTCCCTCAAACTCTCCCAACCTCTCACTCCTTCCTCATTTTCATCAATTCTTACCTGTACAGAAGACGATTATCATTCTTTTATTATTATTATTATTATTATTATTATTATTATTATTATTATTATTAGTATTATTATTATTATTATTATTATTATTATTATTATTATTATTATTATTATTATTATGTATTGTAAAAAAAATATAATATTGCTACTTTGTGTTCCACTCAATGTTTTATTGTATATGCTCGCCACCACAACCAGTGCAACTTCCACTAATACTACCGTATTATTCACCATCCTACCTTTACCACCATCATTCATTTTCAACACCAACAGCACCATCACCCCCACAGCTACACTACCACTGTCATCATTCACCACCCTGCCACTTCCACCTCTACCAAAACCATTCACCATCTACCACCACCACCATCCTACCACCACCATTACCACCTCTACCA